CCCCAAAACCCCAAAACCCCAAAACCCCAAAACCCCAAAACCCCTCAAAGATAAAATAAAATAAATGAGCACTTGTGCAAAAAGGAAGGCTTCTAAATCAAAGAGTAAGTCTAATTAATTAAATGACACAATAGAAGTAATCAAGGATAAGAAAAGAATCAAAAAGAAGCCCTACAAAGGTCCCTTGGACAAATACTTACAGCCCAATATTGCAAATGTGACAGTCGACCTTTCAAGTAGCAGAAGAATGACTACCAAAACCAAAAGGATCAACCGGTCTGCGAAGAAGAACATCAGGAGCTCCTCTACTCAGCAAGCCAGGATCAAGGATCTCTGAAACGAAGATAAACAGAAATTAGGACTCGTGGTCAAGTCTCTAGCATCAAAAGTATCTAAAGAACGAGAGATTAATTCAGAGCTCAAGAGAAAATATGAAGAAGTCCTTAAAGATTTTGAGGAAGTCAAGAGCCAACTACAGACTAAAGCCTCTGATCCTCATAAATAACCTTAAAGAAAGAGCCAGGATTACTCAAATCAAGGAGAGCGAGTCCGACCAAGATCAGCCAACTCGAGATATAAATAAATGCGCAACTCAGTCTTCGTTTAGGATTCATCGAAGAGATATTGAGAGTTTCTGTCCAGAGGTGCCTGCAAAATTTCAGCTAGATGCTCCAAAAATCCTTGAAAGTAATAGAGCAACTAGGATAGAGAACCAAACTTTACTTGAGATTTCCAAGCTCAAAAACGAGGTCAAGCAGCTATCTATAAATATCAAGGAGCTAAGCAATTCAGCATCCAAGAAAGGTGGCTTTAGGCTCCACACATGTCAAGATGAGTAAGAATTTGTACTAAATTTATAGCACCTCACTATATTCAGAAGAAGATGACTTTTAGAAATAATATGAGAGCTAGAAAAATAAGGAAGAAGACTCAGAGAAAGAACGTTCTGAAGGATGAGTCTCTCCAAAAAGCTGTTTTCCATAAGAATTCGTATTATAGTGATATTGATGAAGCTAAAGATGTGCAACCTGTGAAGAAATCAAAGCCAAGACAGAGTAAAAGGCAGGAAAGCTCGAAATATGATCTTATTGATCAGTCGAAGAGAGTGAAATCTTCATATTATAAGATTGATCTAAAGCCTAAGTTTTCTTCAAATTATCACACATCTAGTGATAGAAAGGTCTGAGATGGAAAACTATCAAGAATGATAGTTGATTGTGGACAAAATTCTGGCTTGGATAGTCAGAAATCTTCTACAACTACTCCTATCTGCAGGACAAATTATTCATCTGTAAAATTTGGTTTCAAGGAGGCTGGATTGAAGAGTTTTGAAAATGATAAACATCGAAGAAACTTAGAACATTCAAGGCCATCTTATACAAATCAGTGGAGTAGTTATGGATCTTCATTCAATGGATTTCCATCACATTTGTTTAAACCACCAAAGACCAAGAAGGATGATATCTTCCCTTAAAGAGGTGATGCAGAGCTGATAGACATAATTTTTCCAGTTCAATGTAAGTATACTCCTCAGGGGTTTTGGGGTTTTGGGGTTTTGGGGTTTTGGGG